GGAAAGGGCTGGCTTGGGGGGCCCACCCAGCCCCGCCTGTCAACCTCTGTTGTCAGGCGTTTAGGGCGGGCGTTTCTCTGCCGAATTTAGCAGCTTACTAGAGCAGGACTACGAAGTACTTCCCAGTGGTGTGTTTTATGGTGGGTGGGAGGGCCCTGATTGCTTCTTGAAGGCCTTGACTGCTGCCAGGCTTTGCCGGTGGTGCTTAAGCCATTCCTCCTGAGCCCCATTACGGTAACCAAATGAGCCACCCTCCGATGTCTGCCTTGCTGGGTAGACAAAGAACCAAGACCTGATATCTTAGGCAATTTTCCCAGAGAAAAGGTTTCCTTGACACCCCCCTTTTTCCTGGATTCTCACAGTGCCCTCCTGGCTCCCAACAAGGCCAGGTTGTCGATACACTGGCTTCTAGAATCTTTATAAAGCCGGACGTGAAAGGAGGCTGGCCCTTCACCTGAGGTGACCTTGCAGGTCGTCCTGTCTGCAAAAATTAGGCAGCCCAGGCATCAGAAGAAGGAAACTCATTAAGGCTGACCGTGCTGTCTCTTGAGTTTCTCATTCGAAGTTGCATTTTAAGAATTTGTACTTCTTACAAGGTCCCAGGCACTACCAGTTTTCCAGACTCTCCCTGCCAGGTGACACCTGGGATATTACCCCGCTGGATAGGTAGCAGTTGGCTTTGCCCTCCCGCGGCCCAGGAAGCTTCCAGCTGAAGGTGGTGTGGCCCTTGATTCTCCCCCCCCCCCCCAAGTGTGTTCCTAGTTATGTTACTTTGATAAGCCATTTGGCTACAGGTGCCACGGATCATGCTGCTTCCTCTGTTTTGGCCTGAGCTTCTAGCTGCTTGTCTTTCCGCTTGTTCCTCACCCCTACCGTTGAGTGCTGAAGTGTGGCTTGGGGAGCCTGGCAGGCTTCACGGAGATGTTGGAGGCATGTTGGTTCCTAGTCAGGGATGCTTCAAGCCCGGCAGCTGTGGGGTAGTGACCTTAGATCGGTGTTTCCCCTATAAAACGATCATAATAACCGCTGGAAAAGGTTGGCGGGAGGATTAATGGAGATTAAGGGGGCCGCACTCCTGCTCTGGCGGCACAACTAGTTGGCCTCCATTACGATAGGGATTGTTGCTGGGAGTGGCTGCAGGGGTGGGGGCTGGGCTGTGTCCTGGGCTCCTCCCCACCAGCCCACTTCCTGAAGCACGTGCTGGAGCCTCCGGGCAAAGGAGAAAGAAAACTGGCTCTACTTGGGAACGGGGCCAGCTGTTTTTCTCCCAGTGCAGGTTTTTTAGTCCAGGCTGTCCGGGCTCAATGAGCTGCTCTGTGGTGGGGGTCGTGATTTTTAAGGGTTACCCACCAGTGGCCCCAAGTGACGAAAAACTTCCCACCCAAGGTTATGAGGCCACCACTGGCTGAGTCTGGACAGGGTTCCAGGTTACCTTGATTTTCAGCCCAGAGCCTGGGCCCCTGACACCCCCTTGCCCAGCTGTCTGGGTTATTTTAGGCACCCTCCGGTGCCAGCTGTCTGCTTCCATCACTGCCAGGGTCTGGTAGCAAGGAACCAGGATGGTCCCGTGGCTCCTGCTGGTATAGAGGGCCAGCCATGTTGGGAGGGCTAAACTCCTCACCCCAAGTGGGAAGAGCCCGGAAAAGCACTTTTCTAAGGTGATTTGGTTCATACTATCGATACACTTGTGAGCCTTTCTTGATCTACGTAAGGGCTCTGCTTCTGCTTCTCTGGGGGTCTTTATCTCCTCCGGCCCCAGACTAAGTGATTTATTTATTTATTGGTTTTTCGAGACAGGGTTTCTCTGTATTGCTTTGGAGCCTATCCTGGAGCTCGCTCTGAAGACCAGGCTGGCTTTGAACTCACAGAGATCCGCCTGCCTCTGCCTCCGATTGCTGGGATTAAAGGCGTGCGCCACCAACGCCCTGCCTAAGTGATTGATGTAAGTGGGCTGTGTCAGCTGTACCCTGGAGGGCTACAGACTTTGGGGAACAATTAGGTGCTAAACTGTGGTGTGGTGCTTGAAAGGGAACCATAGAAGTGACAGGGCCAACTTGTGATTACGGTCTGCACTTCACTTTTTCCTTTTTGTTTTTTGTTTTTTGTTTTGTTTTTTTCTTTGACCCCCTTATCACCTCCTGGGCGGTAGGGTGGGGCAGTTTGTCCCAAAGTAGTTCCTGGCCCTGGGGGGGCCCGCCCACTGGTCACTCACTGAGTTTGCTTGGGGCGGGGCTGCTTTGGCCTGCTGAGAGAGGGCCACGCCAGCGGAAGGACTGCCTGAGCTGGGAGGTGGCTGGACTAGCTTCACTGCCCAGATTCCAGCGTCTCCGCCCCTTCCGTCTCCTCCACCTGGCCTGGAGCCCCAGTTTGGAATATGACCTTTTAGACACTCTGGGTAGAGCTGGCAGCCAAGATGGGAAGAAATACCCCTCACTATCACCTGCCCCAATCGTGTTCTCCGATTGTTCTGTGCAAGTTCCTGTGGATGGGAACCAGGAAGGCTCTTTCTAACATTTTGGTGTGACAGAGGAGGGTCTTGCCATGTCCAAGATAGTTCTCTTGACAGGCTGGGACTGTAAGTAAGTACACGTCCTTTGCTCCTGGCTTCTAGAAATGACTTGCTCATCCTCCACTTGTTCCCTGGAGCTGTTAGGCAGCTGAGACCTGGAGGGAGCTTGCCTAGCCAGGTGGATAAGATAGCACCCCAGGCACCCTGGCTTCACACCCTCCCCCCTTTATCTGTTAAGGCCCTAGCTGGAGTCCTTATCTCACTGCTATTGGTACCATCTGCATTTGGATAGCTAAATAATTGATTTATGGCCTCTGAGAAGGGGAGTGGCCCCTTAGCCTCCCCCATCTAAATTTGTACTTTGTCCTGCAAGGTTGAAGGCCTTCTACCTCTGCTCTCCTGGGCTTGCTTTCCCTATTGGCCTCTGTCTTCCTTGAGACCATCCTGCGGCTGGCTCCCTGAGGTAAGACCAACTGAAGGAATCTCTTGCTTTCCCACTCTTTCCAGGAATTCCTGGAGAATGGGGGGTGGGGGCAGAACATATTGCAGGTGAGGGAATAAGCCACCCTATGTGGGTGAGTGTGTCTTATCTCCTCAGCTGGGCCAGCCTGGCCTGACCTGACCTGACCTCTGAGGAGGCTCTCTAAACAGCAGCTGGCTGAATTCCTGGGTATTTTTAGCTACACAAATCCAGCCCCACCATCACCATGAGAAGCTGGGTCCAAATCCAACACTCCAGGCCTGATAATACTGGGGTTCTGCCAGCCTCCTGCTGAGGCTCGGATGGGTGGGCAGGAAGGCTGGAACCGGTAGCAGTGTGCTGCCTGCACCCACCTGAGCCACTATTACTAGCTTTTGGTCACTTCTTCCCTGCAGCTTTCTGCAGACTTACCCTGTCACCGAGGATGGAGAGTGCAGCAGGCACGGGACTGGGGTATTTGTGGAAAGTCAGGAGCCCTCTCTTGGCTATATGTAGTAGAACAAGTATTTTTTTTCTTCTAAGTGAATCTTCCCCTGGCACAAGAAGCCAGCCAGCCAGCCAGCCAGCCTCTGGGGCCCAGGACAAAGCCTGAAGAAGCCTAAGAGAAGAACCCTGGAATCCCTGCAAAGGTATGTGGATCCCCGCTCACTCTAAACCTCCCCCTCTTTGTGCTGTTTTTACTCCACTCTGGAGTAGCCTGCTCTTCGTTCTCTGGGCAGTCTTGGCCTCTGGCATGCTGTCCCTCCTTTTTTTTTTTTTTTTTTTTTTTTGCCATTCTCAAAGGGCCACTAAGGTATAGACCCAGCCCTTCCTCCCTTGCCTGGTTTTGACAGGACTCATGTCTGTTGGGTCTCTTTGTAGCCCTTCTCCCCCTTCAACCAGCAGTCGGGCCCTAGCCCGTAACCTTGACAACCACTTGGTCCTGTCTCCTCACTACTGAAAACCTGAAGAGGGTTTTCCAGCTGCGGTACATTTGCCCAAATTGGGCACCCCTTCTAGCTTCCATTGGCTCTCCCTCTGCCCAACTGTACCCAATACAACAAACCAGCTTCCCTGGTCCCTTGGCTGTAACCCAAAATTGATCACACTGGTGCTGGGAGCTCCACCACACAGCTTCCTCCATGCAGCTCCTAACAGGCAGGAATACGGTTGCTTCTCAATAAACAAATCGCAAAAAAGGAATGAACGAGTTGCTGAACATTTGTCTAAGGGGCCCTTGATCCAGCGACAAGAAGGGGTTTCTGCCCCCAAACTGGAGGTTGGTCCAGGTTTCTACTCCCTCAGTCCCTGTTGTCTTTTGAGTTTCCATGGGCGGTCGCTGCTGCCCTCTGGTGGTACGGCTTTGCCTTGCGCCACCTGGAGGAAAGGGGAGGGGCGGGGAAACAAGAAACGACCTGGCATTTATGGAACCTCCCGGGTTGGTGGTTTGCTCCACAAAGTGAAATTTCCTGGTTGTTTGCCGAGAACTTGTAGGGTATCATCATGCCCCCGGGTCCGCCTATCTCTGGCAGGCTGCAGGGACCCTCAGCTCAGTAACAGGAAAAGGATGGCTCACATGACATCAGCCAACTATATCGCTAGTACTTGTTTGTTTAAGCTCTCAACCAAGAGCTATTTGGATGGTGATGGGAGTGGAATTCCTGGGATGAAAGACATGGAGTCAGAGGACACCAGAACACTTCTTGGTGGAGATGGGGATTATCAGTTTCCGAAGCTTACGGAAGGGCCACATGCTCGACAACCTGTCACAGTCGCGACAGTGTCATGCTTGGGTTCACCCCTCTGAGCCTTGCTCAATACTGCCTACGTATTTTGAGTCAACTCTGGAAACAGGCTGTTCACCTGAAGCCAGTGCAGAAGGCGCCCCCCCTCCCCGCAGGGGGCTCCACGGTGTGGGTCAACAGAACGAGTGGGGAGGGGAGCGGAATTCCTATGGTCACACACTGACGAGGGCCAGTCTCAGACTATGTGGATACACGATCCACGTTCTGGCGTCTTCTCGGGAACGACTGTAGCTACAACCCTGTTTTAGGCCCAGCTGGCCAACTAGCTGCAACGGCTGGATGCGAACCCGGGTGCCGGGTGCAGCCGGCCAATCAAGGAATCGCTATGGGGGTGGAGCCGGCCAATCAAAGGGTCCTCGCCAGGAGGCGGAGCCTGACAATAAAGGGCTGTCGGTGTGAAGAGGCAGAAACCACAAATCCGGCGAGCTAGGGGTGTGCAGGAAAGCATGGTGATGGGGATGCGCTGCGCTTGCGGTTCTGCATCCGGTTCTTCAGTTTTTTTCATTTCCCCGGGGACTGAGACACAAACACCCAGGGCCGGGACCATGGCATAAGGTAATTGAGGCAGGGAGGTTGAACCCCGGAGGCTGCCTGGCAGAGGTGGTGCCGGCTGCCCGAGGGCGGAGCCTCGTGGCCCCGCCCTGAAGCCCCGCCCCCACCCTGTCGCTCAACTGGGCTCTAGCCAGAGCTCAGCATCCAGCGCTGCGGGCTCTGGGCTATGGACGCCCCGGGTGCTCCGGCCCCAGCCGCCGCCCCCAGCTCGGCAAGGAAGGAGCTGAAGATAGTGATCGTGGGTGACGGCGGCTGCGGCAAGACATCGCTGCTCATGGTGTACTGCCAAGGCTCCTTTCCCGAGGTGAGGCCCGGTAGGTGGCAGGAGGGGTGAGGATGGGCTTGGGACCTCAAGGAACGAGGGATGTCCTCCAGCCTGGACCCAGGCCCAAAGTCTGGACCGTGCAATCCTGGGTGTCTCCTTCAGGCAGCCTTGCGAGAATCCCAGAGCTCAGTGGTTTGCCAGGTCTGAGCTGGATGGAGTGAGGGTGTTAGACAGTTGTGGGGGAGGGATCTGTCTGGACTCTGGGCCTCCTAAAAGATCGATCCGACCCCCTCTCTCACAGCACTATGCCCCATCGGTGTTTGAGAAGTACACGGCTAGTGTGACAGTGGGCAACAAGGAGGTGACCCTGAACCTCTATGACACGGCTGGTGAGTGCACCGGAGCCCAAAGGTCCCCGTGGTCATCCCCAAGGGTTTCCCCCTGCCTTGTTGGGGGCATTCCCTTCCTGACACCCTAACATGCCAGAAGGTCTCTGCAAGGTGCTGGCTAGCTGGGAGGCCCTGTAAGCCAAAAGACCTCTGCCATCTCAGCTTTAAATGGTGGTAATAGATTGAGGTGAATTCTGAGCTACCACCACCTCCCACCATGTGCTATGTTCTCTTCTCCAGCCTTGTTCCTCTCCTGTGGTTCTAGAAAATGTGGGCTGTACTTCTACCTCCCAAGGTTGCAGAATTCCTTACTTACTGTGGTCTTTGATTTGAGTCCCCAGGGGTTTGGGTTCCAATGGCCTGTGCTGAGCCCTATTATAGTTTTAGGTTAGCAAGCTCTAGATCACAGCTGTGTGACTCCAGGATTCTATGGCTGTCATTTCTGCATTGAGCCCCCAAGGTCCTGTGAGTGGACCTCCTGTGTCCCTGACTTCAGGGATCCTGGGCTATAGTCCAATCTGTGTTTTCTTGGTTTTTCTGGGAAGAAACAGACAACTTTAGAAAAGAACCTAAAGTCTAGGAAATGGATCAAACAGGGCTCTATCTACTACGTGCCAGTCCCTCAAGGTGGGGGAGGACCCGATTCTGCTCATAGTCCACACACAAACACTGGGATTCTCTTTGGGGTGTCAGGAGCATTTTTAGGGCAAAGGTTGGACCAGGTGGAGCCTCACCCAGCTTGGTGACTCAGTGTCTAGTGACTGGATTGGAACCACGTCACTGAGTGCCCCTTCCCTGCTAGTCCATCCCTGTGTGTGAGGTAAAGTCTCTGATCTTAAATGGAGCCCAAATCCAGGCATTCTCCCCACCCCACCACCCCCTGGAGAAGATGAAGAAAAGGCTATCCCACCCAGACCTCTACCTCATTCCTGTAGTGGGCAGGTTCTACTGGAGAGACTCCTGACCCTTCTGAGTGGCCCACTGAGGCTCCCGCCCACCCTCTCCTCCAACCCCAGGTGTGAGAGAAAGGAATTCTGAGGTGTGTCCCTGAGAGCAGTAAAAGTCCGGAAAACTTACTTTCACATGCCTCTGCTCCAGGAGCCAGGGAGGGGCAGGACCATTGACCACACTTTGGGGGAAGTACTGCCTGAGCACAAGTATTGCACACCTCCCCACACTCCAGGAGAGACCAGGAAGTCTGTTTTTTCCTCCCTCTGCCATCAGTCTTGCCTATCACATCCCATCAGTCTTTCCTATCACATCCCAAAGTTCCCTGTTCAGGACAGTTTCCCCATTCGACCAGAGAGGAGATCATTTTGGACATTTTCTGGAAAAGGGGAGATGCCTGAAGGACATGTCAGGCGAGAGTATCGTGAGGGTTCAGAATACTTCCGCTGGTAAAAGGACGAGTTTGTTCCAAGAGGCTGTGGAGGGATGGAGGGTTCCCAGGGTCTGTCATCGGCAGGTTGTGATGATAGTGTGGTCTTGTCTTTAATGTTATGCTACCTACTTGGAGTTAGACCAAGACCTGGCTTGATTCCACTTTGTTGTGACATTGGGAGCATCTGAACCTCATTTTCCTCATATTTCATCAGAGATAAAATAGTCAAAGAATAAATTCATCTACACAGTGTTCGGCACAGGGGCTGGCTCTTGGGCAGCTCAGCACATATGGTTTTTGTTTTTTTGTTTTTTGTTTTTGTTTTTTGAGACAGGGTTTCTCTGTGTAGCTCTGGAGCCTATCCTAGCACTCGCTCTGGAGACCAGGTTGGCCTCGAACTCACAGAGATCCGCCTGCCTCTGCCTCCTGAGGGCTGGGATTAAAGGCGTGTGCCACCAACGCCCGGCTTCCCATTAGGTTCTTTAGACTTGTTTTGTGCATACTAAAGTACCACTGAACTTCGTTCCCCAGTCCCCAATCTGAGTTTGTCTGTCTGTTCGAGACAGGATCTCTGTTTCTCTGGCTGGCCTCAGACGTGCTAAGTAGCCCATGTGGCCTCCAGGTCTCCATCCTCCTGCCTATGGCCTGAGCTATATGTACTACCACACACGGCTCTGGCCCCAGCTCCTGTGTAGGGAGTGGAGAATCTAGATGCCCTCTCAAGGAGTGTCCACTCACTGTTCCTTTTCCAAGACAGGATTCCTAAGTCCTAGAAGTGTGTAGAAGAGTGGCTTGTCATCTGTCACTCGAGAGTGACTGGGAAGTCCTAATGGTTGGAAGGAATTCCCTGGCCGGTGAGCAGTATACTTATGAGGCTGGGTCATGTGTGTGCATGGTGTTTGTCAGAAGGAGGCTCTAGTGACTGCGGAGTAAATGAATTCATTATCAGAGAGATGAGTCAGCTCTACCTGTGGCTGGGTCTTGGGATAATGTGGAAAAAATGATGCCGGTGACTGTCTAGACTGAAGAAAAGTGGAGACTGAGGGGTTGAGGGCAATGACTGAGTTAGAAACAAGTTTAGTAAATGCCTTAGAAAGCTCTAGAACTGGGGGGAGGGGCCTGCCTTCCCAGTCGGCCATGATCAGAGTTATGGGACAGGAATAACCCCAGAAAGTTCAGTTTTTACCAAACCCAAAATGGATTGACAGCCATGGGCAGTGCTACGTCTATGCCCAGGGGGCCCACATGTAAGGCCTGTCTGGCTACTTGCTTCCATCCTGCGGAAGCAGATACACCTCAGCCCTCTACACAGCACCGAGTGCTCAAGAGGTAGAGGGGGTGGGGCCCTAGCACCCACAGCTCTAGCAGCCCGCCCTGAGCCCTGACATCTTCCGACAGGAAGCTGTGGTGAGGCCAGAAGGTTCCTCGGCAGACAGACGGTGGTGTCATGGTGGCAGGAGGGGGTGTTTAGACACCACCCAGAAAGTCTCATCTAGTCTTAGAGAGGCACAGAGGCATGGGTGTGTGTGAGAGAGAGAATAGGAAATTGGGGGGAAGCAGCTGCTAAGATGAGGAGTCAGGACAAGAAGGGCATTATGGCCCTGGAGCTGGGACCACTTCAGGCCTAGAGCAAGCCAAGTCAGGTACCATGATCGTATGTCAGGAGGGACTTCCCTGTCTCTTCCTGTCCCTGGGGAGGGGAGGGGGGGCAGAGGGGCCCTAGCAAAGCTAGTAAAAGTGGGTTCCTCCTTCAGCAGTTTCCCCTTCTCATGCCTCCAACACCCCTTCTCTGACTGACACTTTGGTCAAGATGGGTCACCTCCAGCAGATTTGGGGAGCACTGTATCCAGATGACAAGCCACTCTTCAACACAGCTCTAGGACTCAGGAACCCTGTGGTGGAAAAGGAATATTGCCAAGGGAAAGCCCCACTCCACAGAGTGACGGCCTCATCTCCACCCACCTGCCTCACAAACTGGTAGCTGAAGAAAAATGGGCAGGACTTCAGAGGAGCTCTGGCCAACAAGCCCTGTCCCTCATTAGAATCAAGGGCATGCTTAAGGAGATTATGGGCAGGTGACTTGGCATCTTCATGGGCAAAATAGAGTAACAGACCAATGTAGTGGAGGGGAGGCCCCTTTAAGGGATTCAGAGATTCAGGGGTTGGAATTGCATAGGTCGTTAACCTACCGTGGAAGTTTCTGTTTTAGCGGTAACCACAATAGCAGTGGTCACACCTCTGCCCAGCACTAAAGTACTTTTGTTTCCCAAATCAGGGCAGAGCTGGTCACCCCTGTCAGAGATAAGGGAATTAAGACTTAAGATGGAAGGCACTAGGCTCCAGACTGTGTCCAAGTCGTAACATTCAGTCCAGACAGAGTGCCCAGCGCCCAGCCTCCAGGGATAATGGGGCAGCAGTGTCTAAACTCCTTGTCTTCTTTGTGTGTTTCTTGTTTTTTCTTGTGTGTTTTTCAGGACAGGGTTTCTCTGTGTAGCCCTGGCTGTCCTGGAACTCACTCTGTAGCCCAGGATGGCCTTGAACTCAGAGATCCTCCTGCCTCTGCGTCCCAAATCCTGGGATTAAAGGTGTGCGCCACCACCCACTGCCCAGCTCAAATTATTTGTGTTTATGAAAGGCCCACACTGAACCCTAAGAAGTCAAGCCAGGCAGAATCATGCCTGAGGAAATAGGATCTAAGATAGCCCCCCATACCACCCCCCACAAAAGGCCCCCTTTTTCCTTGAGACAGCTCTTTATGCCACCATTTTCCCTGTCAAACTTGCTGGGGTGTTGTTCTTATTTGGAGACAGAAGGTGATTCTTTTATGTACAGGCTATGGTCTATCATTGAAGGAAGCCAATATAGAAAATCAGGACAAAATCTGGAGGCAGGAACCAAAGCAGACACAATGGAGAAATGCTATTTACTGGTTTGCTCAGCTATCTTTCTTATATATACCTGCTCTGTGGTAGCAGCATCCACTGTGGGTTTAGCCCTTCTCTACCAATGGGCAATCAAGATAATGCACCTAGCCGGGCGTTGGTGGCACACACCTTTAATCCCAGCACTCAGGAGGCAGAGGCAGACAGATCTTTGTGAGTTCAAGGCCAGCCTGGTCTACAGAGTGAGTGCCAGGATAGGCTCTAAACCAATACAGAAAAACCCTGTCTCAAACAAAAAGATAATGCAGGATGGACATGCTCACAGGCTAATCTGATGGATGCAATTGTCAACTGAAGTTCCCAATTTCCAGATGTGTCAAGTTTAGCCATCCCAGATGAACAGAATGAAGCTCTTGCCCTGCCTTCTGAGGTGGGCTGAACAAAGAGTACCTGAATACCGTTTATCACTGACAGATTATGATTAGCTGTGTGGCATAAGTCGTTCCACCTGTCTGTATTTTGGTTTCTCTGACTGGAAAAGGTAGGTAGCTAGTGCCCATGTCAGGCGGCTCATAACTGCCTCGAAGTCCAGCTTTAGGAGGTCTGACACCCCCTTCTGGACTCCATGGGCACCCATATTCTTAAGTGCATAGACCCATTCACTGATGTACACGTTTTTCACAAAATTAAGGGTTTCTTTTTTTAATAATTTATTTTTATTTCATGTGCATTCATGT